TGTTTGAAATTTTTTGAATTACTCTCAGATGTTTGAAATTTTTTTGAATTACTCTCAGTTGTTTTTCAGATGCAGTTCATTGAAGGCTTCCTTAATTTAATTTGCTTACGCTTTCCCCCTTCTCTTATGCATATACATTAACTTCTCAGAAGACAAGACGAAATGACATTGACATCGAAGCCTCTCTTTACCCTTAAATAAAAACATATTGCTGTAGAGAGCTGGAGAAGGAAGAAATAATTGAAAGAATTAATAATGATGTCAATGTCATTGCACCACTTTGCAAAGGCCAACAATCTTTCACTGTTGCTATTTCTTTTGCTACAACTGATGTTACAGCCACTGCTTTTTATCTTCAATTTTTCTGCTTATTTACAACTGAAAAGAACTTATATACGTGCAGAAAAATCGTCTTAAAAACGCATGACGCGGAGAAAAGCAAAAAAAAAATTAAAAAACCATATGTATACACATGTATACACATATAAAAACCCAAACCAAAGTAAAGAACTGCAACTGAAGAGTAAAAACAACGTTCACAAAACTTTATACGTAGAACTAACGTCGGCAACTATCAACTGAGCAACAAACTCACTGCGAAACCAAACTACGCGTAAACAGCTTACAATACGTACATATACACTTTATATGTATGTTTTCTAACGCTTACGGCACATAATAATAATAATAAGAAATGAGAAACGTTTAAGTTGAAGACAATGAGTTGATGATGTTGTTGTTATTGTTATGTTTGATGTTTGTACGCTCGCTCTTCAGTTCGTTTGCCATCCACAAGACTTTTGGCAGCACCTTCTTTCGTGTTGTTTGTTTTTTTTTTTTTGTAAATCGTGTTCCTCTTCGCTCGTTTCTTTTTTTATTTTGTTTTGTTATTATTTCTTGGCAACCATTGCTGTTCTTGAGGAAAAATTGAAATTCCCGTTTTATTTATTGCTTCAGATTCTTCTTATTCCTCCTCCTTTTGCAAATGTGCATTGTTTACTATAAGAAAGAGTGTAAATGCGAGCGTGCTCTTGTGTGTAACTGTATAGCATTTGCATTGGTTCGTGTTTGTGTTTGAAATTTATGCTATTTTTCGGGCAAGGTCACACAACGAGACAAAGTCAATGTCCGCAAATGACCTCTTCTTTTTTGTTCCTCTTTCTTTCTATATCTGAAAGTTTCGTGTTGTTATTTTGCTGTCATTATACATCGTGCGTCGCGTGCAGTCATTAGTATTGCTGTTTAGAATAGCACAACGTTTTCTTACATTCGCTTTGTTTCTTCCTCGCCAATCTCCTCTTTTCTTCGCTTAGGCCAGTTTCTATAGCAAGCAATAAGTTGGTTTGTTTTTATTGTCAAATACCTGTATTGCAATGAAGTCTGTCCATTCAAATCATTGTGAACAATGGAGCCGGTCTTGCTTTATTTACTAAAATATCTACTTTTTACTTCGAAAATAAGGGTGTGAAGTTATATTTAAATATAACTAGCGAAGACACAAACCAATTTTTCAGAGTAAAATAGAACTTTTCGAGAATTTTTCTGCAAACTATTATAAACAAAACATGACTTTATGTAAATAAATTAATATTCGAAAGGACAACATTTTTACACTATGGCGTAAACGAGGTTGATAAAGCGAAAGTTTGCGTAGCTACTGCGGCCAAACCATGTCCTATGAAAAAATGAAACTAGCACATAGTGAATCCTCTATTAATAGCCTTTCCAACGATGTGCAGGTTGTATTAAGGTTTGCCCCTAGAATTTTTTTATGGGACTTTGATAATTTTGCTTATAAGTTAGCCTATATTATGCTAAGTACAGAAATTTTCAAAGTCCCATAAAAAAAAAAATTATAAAGTTCTTCCTGAGAAAATGATTGGGAAGATGGGATATAGAGCGAAAGTACTGTAAATGTTATATTTAAGATTATTTCTTTCACTACGGCTTGTACGCATGAGCGTAAATTTATGCGTTTGTGAGGTATATTTGATTTTATAAAAACACCAACTCCTTGTTTGAAATATGAATTTTGATCAGCATTCATGAAGTATCCAGTATATAATTTGTATGGAATAGGATTAAAAGAGCTTCTACAATGGGCCTCATAAAGCGATATAAAAGTTGGGTTAAAATCACTTATGAGTGCAAGGAGTTCATCAAGGTTATTAAAAAGTCCCTTAATGTTCCATTGTAGAATTTTAAAAACTTTATTTAATTGTAGTGACATGGAAAGGGGGTGGCAGGTGAGTTAAGTTGACATGTCGGCGTCTCCGTCGAAAATGCCTCTATAGGAATTTTGCGTGAATAATTTGTTCTTACCGGCAGAATAAGTCGTACTTAGGTGATTGTGTACATTTGAACTGCAACGAGTGGGCGCAAGTGAATAATTTGAAATTCAAGGTTGATTAACGGATGAAACATTGGATTAATTACAACTTGCAATTTGTTGACTAGAGTTGAGAGCTGTTGATTCTGGGGAATTTAGCTTGTTATATTTTAGGATACGTGTTTCTGTTTTAGTTTTTCAATATTTGCTGTTGTTTTGATTTTTTCAATATTATTTTTGGCGGGTGGTGGAACTGGTTTCGCATTATAGTTTTTGTTGATGGTAAAACAGGTTTTCCGTTGGAAGGAGTTGGAGTTAAAGGCTTTTGTCAATTGTTCGGGTCATAGTTGGATTTATTTTCCGGTACCTGCGTCGCGCTTCACCCATGGTGCAGTAATTTTCTGTTTTGATTTTTGGAACTTCACGCATTTGCATACAACGTGGGTATTGCTTGTCTAACGCCGAGTGTTGATCATTGCAATTTATGCAGAAACCACGCGTACAGCTTTCAACATGTGGAAGAATACCACAGTCAGCACAAGATAAAGCACTGTTGTACCTTTTTGCGCATTTTTTGCATCTCAAGGAATTTGGAATGTAGAGTTTGACTTTACATTTATACCAAGCCCCACCAACTGTTTGGTAACCGATAGCGATCAAAGGTCATAATTATCCTTCCTGTAAGAGAGCGAATATTTGCGTCGTCATTTAAATTAGTAAATTTATAAACTTAAGTCACTCTTTGACTGCCCATTTCGTGAACTATTCGTCTTCCGGCACATATTTTAAGCACGGGGCATATATTACGTCTCTAACTGAGTTCAGTTTGTCATGTAATTTACCGGAAATAGCACATAAATTAGGAGGTTTTCAGTTGCGGGCGAATTCCCAACGAGGACAAGTAAACTCCCATCGCGTAGAATCGAGATAGAGTCTACATATGTTGTAATGTTATCTAGGGCTTTTTTATAGCAAATGGACTGGTTTATGGAATTATTATGCTAGCAACAGTTGATGAAATGACAACATATTTTTTGTCAATAGGAGTGATGTTACTGATTGGCAAGACTGGAAAGTCCGAATTTTTAATTTTTTTTCTTTGGGGGGATTTGTCCATTAATACATGAAATCTATTTGAGTTTCTATATGGCGGCCCCCGGGGCCATTATACCTTATGGTTGTCTATTGTTTAGTAATTTGCGAAAACATCGTTCACTGGAAAAAGATTGGAAGCTACTAATGGAAAATTTTTTTATTTTTTTGTTTTTTGTTTTTTTTATTTTTTTATTACATATGGACGAAACAAAAGCATATCCGCGATAACCAGTTTTAACAAAAACGCTGAGAAGACACGAACTAAACACACAAAATCACCGAAACAATTAAAAATTGACAGACGAAAAGATTTTACTTTTGTATTATCAAAGATTAGCTTCTTCTGAAATATCAACAATGATTATGTTTACACAAACCATTAGTTAAATACTAATGTTTTACTTTCCAAAATCGATCATTTATAATCGTTAGCGAACGCTTTATAGTCCTGTTGCGCATGAAAATTCAGCTTAGCAGCATAATATCGCAAGCATTTGTACCGTTTTAATTGCCCACATATAGGGGTTTTCCCAATTTGTCGTTCATCGCCATAGTGGGCACTAGTATACAGCGAAAAAGCACCACAGATTTGTCAACTAGCTCCACCACATCTAGCGGTTTTCCGAGTGCACCTTATGTTGTGTGCTCGACCTTTTCGACGACATACAAAATTTCTGCATTTTGCAGAACACTCGGTTTCGGAACCGGAGAAAGAATTTTTCTCTGCTCGTCCGTCCAGACTGTTGGAAATCAGTTAGCCGCTTCTTGCCCATCTACATGAAGCCCCAACGCGATATCTCTAGAGTATCTAATAGATCACTTGCTTTCCAGGCAATGATTTTGGCAATTAAAAACATGTAAGAGGATATTTTTATTACAAAACTCAATTATACTTAACCAAAGCATTTTTACATATTTTTTCTTTCCTTTAGGAAGTATATAAAGTAATCTAAATAAGTAATTTTTCATCTCTCCTTTCTGTTTATTAAAGTAAAACGGGAATTTTTAACTCATTAATTTTTTTGCTGTTAATATAATTTAGATTTATGTAGAAGATTTGTGATGATGCGGAAATTTAATTATAACAAACTCGAAAATAAATTCTTAGTAAAAGAATAAAAAATCGGGTGAAAAAAAAAGAATGTGGTAGGGTTGTATGTGAAAGTACAAATCTTGGTAAACATTAAAAAAAAAAAAAAGAGTACAAATATAGGACACAAAATATAGTTTTAAAAATCAATTATAAACAAACCATTACTTGAGGACCGCAATAGCTGTGGTCAAAAATTCTGATGTTGGTTTTTTGTCCCTTGCAAGGGAGCTAACTAAAAAGGCCTTCAGAGGCTTTCTCCAAATCCCAGTTTTCTTTTGAGAGAGCTACGCGAGCATCATGTTCATTAATCCCCATGTCCCGCAAATATTGGACTTTTTCGTCACATTCGGGATACTTATGTGGACCTCCGGCATAAACATTAGACCAATGACGAGCAGTTATCTGAAAAATTTGAGGTTTATCTCTATACTGATATGCCACGACTGCATCCTGAGGATCGTCAGGCTCGGCAGCAGCTAGTAAAGCTTGCAGCGATAATAGTACTGTACGTAAAGTCATAGCAGCCGCCCAATTATCTTTTAAAATGTCCAAACAAATAGCTCCAGTAACTGATGATATGTTAGGATGCCATATCCTAGTAGCAAAGCGTATCTTTGGCGGATTAAATGGATACGTTTCAGGCACTTTGATTTCCAGTATAAATGTGCCACCTTCGTACGGCGTATCAGGTGGCCCTACTATTTCACCACGGAATTCGGTCCAATTATCATTAACCAATTCTATTTTAATGGCGCATTGTGCTATTTCTTCACTGCGCATCACTTCTTTAAATTCTCGCTTTATGCGGGATGCTGCCATATTAGCCATGATGTGATGATGATCGTTACCTTTCAAAACTGAATTCTAAATTTGTGCGTTTCTTTCCTTGGGAGTTTTTATATTGGCTATCGTCCTCCTTTCAAAAGAAAGAAGATTTTTTTGTGGTCATAATAGTCGGAGTTTTTGGTGCCAGCCCTCTTCTAACTTTTCTTCTGTGCATCAATTACCTGCAACTTCTCCGGTTTCTTTGCGATTGAATTGCTCACCACAATTGAAAACAGATTAACAGAACAAAATTGCAGCTTAAAAACAAAATCGAAAATTTATACGATTTGATGCATTGCGTGCGTTTCGCACACAAAGCAAATTTTGCTAAAATGAGTTGATTGAGTTCTTCCAAAAACAGCCGCTAGCCTATACACGGGTATTGTACTTAATTTTCTTCGTTTAATATTTCGTATTTTTAAATTCCGTTAACTTTTGAGGAATTGTAGCTCTTTCTCAAATTTGTTTATAATAGCGAATGAAAAACTTTCTCACAAAATTGACAAAATTGAATGACGTATTTTTAAGTACTTTCAGTTGCTACACAAAGGATTAATGAAACAGAAGACTGCTGAGAAAACTGCTCAGATCTAAATCTTTTAAAATTTCTTAAGACGAACGGATGTAGGTTAAAATAGTCGACTAATGTTTTCTCAGCCCAATAACTACGGAAAGTAGTTACGCTCTCTGTTGAAAATAATAGAAAATTAAATCAGACATCTAACAACATATTTGAAACCCAGATTTTTCTAGAATTTGCAAAAATTTGTCAAAAAGAGAAAATTAAATAGATTAGTAGCACCTTCCTGCGTAATAGAAATATGATACAAAAGAATATTTAACTTAGTTTGTTAAAAAGAAGCAGACACATTTCTAAAACAAATGTATACATATTTTTAGCCACCACTAAAAGATGAAGGTATACTAATTTTGTTTTTTTTTTTTTTCAAATGTATGTAACACCCAAAACTATATATATGCTTGACCAGCGTGAAACATGCGAAATTTTTACTCCCAGGTTGGTATTGCAAATAGGCTATGTTCGTCAGAGAAGAAGACCGCAGTGAAGCATAAATTACTCCATTTTTCTTAACAGAAATTTTTGAGTTTTTGCTCGTTACTCAGAAATTTTAAAAGTTAGTAGTTTGAAACTTTCCACATTTACTTTACATGACACTCTGCTCTTTCGTGCAAAAATGGGAAAAATAGAAGCAACGGTAGTGTTTTCGCCGTACTCTATACAGAATTCACAGCACAAATTCTGTTAACCGTGTAGCTGTGTAAGCGGTGCCAAATTTGAATGAAAAAAAAAAAATAATTCCAACAGTAAGCAAACACAGGTATTATTGTAAAGAAAGAGCGGAGGGCATATGGAAGAAAAGGAAAAACTCGTGGAAAGACAACTACAAGCAAGCAGGAAAACACATTGTTTAAATGAGAAAAATTGTGCGAGTAAGGTATAGTAAAACGATTACTAAGCGATAAATATGAAATAATAAAATAAGTTAACCCTTAAATGCATAGCGATGTGATCATCGTATGTTTAAAAACTCATATCTCTTTGTGTAGCAACCTTTACATAGTGTTTACCCCCTATATCATTTGTGGTACACTAAGTTTGTGCGGACGTATATAATTAGCGTTTAGTACAGACCCCCGTTTTATTCATGAATTCAGAATCACTTTCTAAATCTATCTGTTCGTCCTTCTATTCGTCTGATGTCCGTCCACGTATATTTGTGTTCAAACTACACGTCGCCATTTTTAAAATATTTTGATAAAAGTTGGTACGCTGACGTGTTTTGACCCAAAGAAGAACGATGTTGCAAATAGTTTGAATTGGTTAACTTTCGAGCACTCCGCATATAACACCCACTATATAAGGGAAAAATTGCAATTTTCCAAATTTCTCGCAACTACATAAGAACATTTCGGTACTCTAAATTGATGTGAAAATTTTGAGTAGGCTGGAGGAATTTTTTTAACGTCCTCTCATATAACGAAAACTGAAGTTTATCTAACAAAAAGTAACTGTACTAAATTTGGATCATCTCGACCTATTTTTTTTGGATCCTATCCTACATATAGATTTCCGCGAAAATTTTCGTTTTTTGTGGGAGAAAAGTTTAAGTTTTAATATGTTATGACGAAATTTGGTCCATAATAATAATTTGATATAAAAATTAAGTCTAAAAAATTTGGACGACGTACGTCTATTTTTAGACCTTACCCTATATAAGAGTTTGCAAGAACATTTTTGTTTTTTAGGCCAGAAGGGTCTAAATTTTAATATTTTAGGATAAAAATTGACCCATAATAGCAACTTGATGTTTTACAAAAATTATATATGTTGAATTTTAAATGCTTGCCACAACCTTTGAAGCCTTTAGGCACAACCATTGTTACGGAGAAGCGATCCTCTATTTGCAAAGAGATTTAATTTTCAATATTCAGTTCCATAATAACAAGTTCAAGTTTTCAAAACAGGATATAATTTTTGTGTTTCACGCCAAAAATAGGAATTGTGTTAGACAATATAGTGTAGGGCATTGTAAGGTCGGTTAGCCCGGCTACACCGTTTTCACTTATTTTCTTTATTGTTAATTTTACCAAAATTATTTTATCGTTTCCGAACGCAACTAGAATCTTTGAAAATTTGTTTATAAAAATTCATGCATTTATGTGTTCAAAATATAATGTAGCAATAATGAATTAAAATATCATATGCAACTACTAATGTCCCAATTTTAACAACGCTGTCAACTATACAAAGTTTTTTGCTAAATTCTTTATTATTATTATTTTTTTTTTTCGCAATCCATAAAATTTGAATTTATTATACTAAAATTATTAAAAATTATAAAGTTACTCCAATGTATTTAGTAATTTATATTTTTTGTTAAATTATAAAATATTATTTACACAAATAAGTTAGAATTTCAATAAATTCGGTTAAATTAAAAATTATCTTGGAACTACGTTATTTTTTTTTTTTAACATAATATTTCTAACAATATGTATATTAATTAGCTCTGTAGTTTGGCTGAACATGTACTCATTTTATTCATTTGATGACTAATCACGTCAGTATTGCCAACAAGACAACAACAATTACCTCGTCAACTTTTTTACGTTGAAATTTTATGTTTTGCTAGATTTCTTTGTATTTCGCTGCTCCCTTGAACTTACATTCGCAAGAAAGAGAACCAGATATAAGGAGAAAATAAAAAAGGTTATTTTATGCTAAACATTATTGACATTCATTAATTGTAGTTGTCAGAATGCAAGTTATTTGCAAACCAAAGACTCGTACACACTCATACAGAGCAATAGAAAAACATGTTTTCAAAATTTTTATACTTAACTAACTAAATGATCACGATATACAAATTTTTTCGTTCCATTTGTAACAGCAATAGATATGCAGAGAATACATTTATTCATTAATGCGATCTATCCCATTAACCTAACTAAATTCAAAATCCTTAATACGTCTTTCACCAAGTGAAACAATGGAGATAAAAAGGAAACTTTCCGAATCGATTTAATTGTTTCGGTCCGCTTAATTCTTTTTAAAAATCATGGTTATAAATATTAACGACTTAGTTAGACTTCAACCTCAAATATCTTTGCCCACTATCCTCAACTGAAGTTGCAAAACCATCTAAGTCACTTCGAATATCCGCCCATAACTCAAGATCAAATTATTTGGTTGAATGCTCTCTATCTCATTCACAATATTAATATGTGGAGTTTTTCGTATGTCGCCTGTGGGCGTAACGACTTCGACTCAAAGGTGAAAATATCACGTTAGAAACGTAAGAAAGCCTTATCTATCTCCATTACCGCGAAGATGCATAGTGCGGTTAAAAAGCGGACAGCTGCATTAGCGTCCCCTATAGAGCACATGCAAGACATGGGCAAATCGGAGAGAAGGATAAGAAAAAAGGGTAGTTCTATTATTAGTGGCTTTGTCTACCTATCATCTGCCGTTAAGACATTGCCGCTTGAGTATTAAACTAACACTTGGAAGTCACATGAAGCTTTAATGTGAGAATGAACTTGATTCGCCAATAAGCACCACCGCAATAGACAATAGAAACTTATAACAATATTTTCAAGATATTGAATTAAAACTGGAACAAATACTAGACATTAATAAAATACGTTACAATTTTCATTTAATAATTTGCTACAAATGCGGTTTATCTCATCAATTATATTTATTGGCAGCTGAGTTTAAAAATGGTGAAAAATCCATATTCAAAAGCAATGCTTCTTTTCGTATAGTCTTCGGTTGCCTGAAAAGTTTTCCATCTAAGAAAGAAATAACTTTTTTTTTGGGCAATTCGATTTTACTAATCAACGTAACCTTTCTAAGATTTCGGTATCTTTTTTATAGAATGATTTCTGAAGACCCTGAAAATATGCTTCACTTTTCAGAATGATTTCACCATTTAATCTGAATATTTCTCCCTGCAATATTCCTTTGAAATTTCTTAGGAGATACTAGGCGCTGGAAGTTAGACCTGGAAAATATGATAAATGGGCCGGAAATCGAAACCGCATTCAAGCAATATTACGATAGTCAATAGTTCAAGTTCCCGGCACAATATTGCCTTACTGAAAGATGCTAACACTCAATTTTTACCATTTTACAAATTTTCACAAAAACGCTCATAACGACTCACTGTGAAAAATTAGTACAATATGTATTAATCAAAATAGTTTCCATCATTTTCTACAACATTTCACAACATTTTTGGCAACATGACGAAGTCATGTCGAAAAGACTTATATTGGTTTGGCTGCGATCCGCCCACCGACCCATTTTTGCACTTCTTGCACTTTGCAGATTCGTGTAGCAGCCAAGCCATGTTGCGCCGATCTGAGCAAGTGGTAATCAGGATGTCTGATGAGTACGCTGGGTGTGGCAGAACTTCCGATTCGAGTCGCGGATAACTCTTGCAACAAGTGGCTAAAAAATGGCATTTTCAGTCGATCCTTATCGCCACCTTTAAACCGTTGATATCAAAACCGCCAATTGGGATATGATAGATCCGCATCACGGTAAGCCTCTGAACGTGTTTGTTAGGCTTCGGCAACAGATTTCTTTAAATAAACAACAAAAGCAGCGAATTTGGAAGAAGAGTTTTGAACGCTCAATGATCAGCGTCGCCGTTCGCTGAATAAATCAATTACATTAAAGGGAAAACTGTTATTTTATGTGAAGCAAGGTCAAAACTATTGAAACCATTATTTACGCTGGTATTTCCAAGTTCTTTATCATTTTTACCTGTATAAGCCGCTGGACAAAATATATGGAAACATCTAATATATTGCCGTCTATTATTATTATAATTAAAACTTTAAATACAAAGTTGTCAATTATAAGCATACTAAGTGCAAAATATCCTGAATGTGGAGGCAATTTACTACACATGCACTGTGATGTAGACGAAATTTATTAAAGTTGTTTTTATTTCAATCTACTTTAGTGTTGAGTAAAAAAAATTCGATTTAAACCAAGCACAACTTTTCTTTTAATTGCTTTTGTTTTTTATATGCTTTAAGGAATTGAAACTGTGCTTCCATCGCAGCACATACTCAACGATTATTATGGATAGCTAAGAAAACAAAGAAAGTACAGAAATTTACTAATGTGCGCAGAGTAGTACTAGGGACAAATGATTTTGTTTGTTACTATGTTTGTTTATTATTTTTTTTGACATTTGATTTTGGTTTTTTTTTTTTCTTTTTTCGATATTAAACTATTTATTATTATAAATTTAGCCAGAGAATAAATTCTAAGACTAAAGTCTCAAAGCAGGGCTTTCGCTGTTAATTGTTCGGCTTATGCTTTATGGTTTTTTGTTAATATGAACGTATAAGCCATATGCTTATTCAAAACACCAAAAAAAAATATAGAAGCGAGGTTTGATACGCGTTTGCATGAAAGA